GCCGAGCTGCGGGCCCGGCTACGGACCAAGCTCGCCGGTCGCGGGCTCGTCCCCGGGCTCGTCGTCGCCGGGCAGCGAACCCGCACCGCCGCCCGCCCACCACTCCTCCCTCAACATGGCAAGTTTATATACCACACATATATTTTGTCGTTCATAAGCGGCTGAAATGTTCTACATGAATAAATTATTTTTTTATTTGAATTTGTACCGTGTATTAATTTGAACATACAGACCTATCTTTACCAATTGAATCGTTATGTAGAGAACTTGCAAATATGTACGCGTACTCAAAATTAAATAATATGAATACGTACATAAATTTTACTTGTCGTTTCTCAGGGATCGACGTTATGTCCCGTTCTCGTAACTCTTATGGATACAGATGGAGGAGTCGTCGGAGGGCTCGTCGTCGGCGGCGGAGGCGGGGGTGGGTGCGGCGGGTGGTGCGGGTGGTGCGGGTGGTGCGGGGGGGCGGGCGGTGCGGGGGCGCGGGGCGCGTGCCGCTGGACGTGGCGCCGCTGCTGGCGGCGGCGCTGCGCCACCACGCCGACCTGGGGGACGTGCAGACCGCCGCCGCCGTCATGATCGTGCTGCAGGAGTACAGGTCCTGTCACACCTCCACCTAATTCTACTTTACAGCAGACGAGATATTTTGTATAAGTGTAATTGTTAGTGGAAGGTATAAAAAAGACGTGTATGAGACAGAAACAAAGATTTGATTTTAAATCGAAAGTATATTTGAATTGCAGAAGTGACTTGTTCCCGTACATCGACGAGAGTCTCCAGGAACAGTGGCTACTAGGATACATAGAGCTGTTACAACGGCATAAGCTATGGAATGTCGCTACAGAGGTTAGTGATCATCAAATACTGTATGTCGTATTCGCTTTAAAGTTATGGAGAACACGATTTTAGTCTAATGTGAGCAAATGCTGCAACCAACAGACAGTTTCTCATGACTAAATTTTGATTTCTGTGACAGATACGTTCTTTGGACATTTTCATTACCTCTTCTATCTCTGTCACTTTAATTCGGCGGTCGTCTAACATTATGTGGTGAACTTTGGCAATGTTATCGATAAAGTTGTTATCGAAAAGTTTATGGACGTCCAAAAACTGCAAATAGTATAGTTAATAACTATCAGTAGGAACAGTTTTTGGACGTCCCGAACGGTAATCGTCTCCTAAGCTATTACGGCCACGTTTAAATTCCGCTGCCCAAGATTTCACTGTTAAATGATGGTGCAGAGTCTCCATAGAGAGAGTCCAAGTTATCTTTCATTTTCAAAAATATAAATTAAATATACTCGTTACTAAATTTTTCTCGATACTCTTTGACTGTTAAAAAGTCAAAATGAATTTTTAGTAATTCTTTCCAGGTTCTATGGTGAATTTTCTGATTAAGCGCGCTACATTCTAGGTCTCGCCATCATTTCCCATCAGATGAGGTAAGACCAGGAGCAAACCCGTTAATAATAATAAAAAAACCACCCAGGTATAAGGATTCTCATTTTTGTCGTTGGGAGGCAGGTGCGGGTCACCATGAATCGCGTAATCCTCAGAAATGGCACCCGTAGATTACACATGTGTCTGTTTGCAGGTGATCCGGTGCGCGTGGCTGAGCAGCGTGTGGTCGATGTCGCAGCAGTCCACCAGCGTGGCCACGTGCTGCGGGGGCTGCGGACGACGCACGCGCCCCCGCCAGCCCTGCGACCGGTGCGCCCCCCGCGCCTCCCCCGACCTGTGCGCCGTCTGCCGCCAGGTACCGCCCCCCGCCCCCCGCCAGCCCTGCGACCGGTGCGCCCCCCGCGCCTCCCCCGACCTGTGCGCCGTCTGCCGCCAGGTACCGCCCCCCGCCCCCCGCCAGCCCTGCGTCCGGTGCGGCCCCCGCGCCTCCCCCGACCTGTGCGCCGTCTGCCGCCAGGTACCGCCCCCCGCCCCCCGCCAGCCCTGCGACCGGTGCGCCCCCCGCGCCTCCCCCGACCTGTGCGCCGTCTGCCGCCAGGTACCGCCCCCCGCCCCCCGCCAGCCCTGCGACCGGTGCGCCCCCCGCGCCTCCCCCGACCTGTGCGCCGTCTGCCGCCAGGTACCGCCCCCCGCCCCCCGCCAGCCCTGCGACCGGTGCGCCCCCCGCGCCTCCCCCGACCTGTGCGCCGTCTGCCGCCAGGTACCGCCCCCCGCCCCCCGCCAGCCCTGCGACCGGTGCGTGACCGCGCCTCCCCCGACCTGTGCGCCGTCTGCCGCCAGGTACCGCCCCCCGCCCCCCGCCAGCCCTGCGACCGGTGCGCCCCCCGCGCCTCCCCCGACCTGTGCGCCGTCTGCCGCCAGGTACCGCCCCCCGCCCCCGCCAGCCCTGCGACCGGTGCGCCCCCGCGCCTCCCCCGACCTGTGCGCCGTCTGCCGCCAGGTACCGCCCCCCGCCCCCCGCCAGCCCTGCGACCGGTGCGCCCCCCGCGCCTCCCCCGACCTGTGCGCCGTCTGCCGCCAGGTACCGCCCCCCGCCCCCCGCCAGCCCTGCGACCGGTGCGCCCCCCGCGCCTCCCCCGACCTGTGCGCCGTCTGCCGCCAGGTACCGCCCCCCGCCAAACAAGTCGCGACTTGTTTACACAGACGAGACGTCACAGCATGGAGCGAGGCAGGCAGTAGTCTGACTTCCAGACCAGGCACCGTACGCACATCGGCACACCACCGCGACTCGGACGCGTCTCCACCACGACCATTACCTGCCATCACACCAAGCACGACGTTCTTTCACCATCATCTGTTGACAGGTGGTCCGCGGTCTGTACGCGTGGTGCCAGGGCTGCTCCCACGGCGGTCACCTGCAGCACATGAAGACCTGGCTCGAGCAGCACCAGCTCTGTCCAGCCGGCTGCGGCCACCAGTGCCAACTCGGCTGACTCCAAGACTCGCTTCCACAAATATATTTGTAAGTACCAAGCGGGACATTCGCTGCTCCATCATAAGAAGTACTGTTTATAAGACCTACCTGGAACAGCACCAGCTGAGTCCAGCTGTCTACGGCCACTAGTGTCAACTTGGCCGATTCCAAGACTCGCTTCTAGTACTACATGTGTAAATACCAGGACCTTCGCTGCTCCATCAAGAGATATTGTACTCTTTGAGTACTCGAGAGTGTCAAGAATTTTGTTAAAGTAATATATTCGTATTTTTAAAGGACAATTTTTACCACGTACGCACGATTTTTTTTGACACTGTACCGTCCGAGTTATGACATTGAAAGAAACAAAAATCTAAATATATTAAACTCAAAAGTGACTGACATAGTGATCTATCAACGCACAGCCCAAACCACTGGACGGATCGGGCTGAAATTTGGCATGCAGGTAGATGTTATGACGTAGGCATCCGCTAAGAAAGGATTTTGATTAATTCTACCCCAAAGGGATAAAATAGGGGATGAAAGTTTATATGAAACTTTATCAATTTTAAACCGATCGGACTGACACTTTGCATGCATAAAGCTACTATGACGTAGACATCCCCTAAGAAAGGATTTTGCTAAATTCCACCCCTAAGGGGATAAATTAACGCGAGCGAAGCCGCGGGTAAAAGCTAGTAAAGGTATATATGTCTACACCGATTTGTACAAAAAAGCTATTTTGTATTGTAAATTTGTAATACAAATTATTTCTTATATGACCAATAGTGGATAACTGTTCTAGCGCCATATAGTTTTAATTTAAAAACTCGTATTTGGGTTCAATTGATGGATATACTTTTTTTATATAAATATACGCAGTCATGAATAAATAAATAATCAGGGATGTTATGGATATGAAATTACGGATACAGATAGGTTTCGGATATAGGAATGATTATTATACCGGATACGGATACGGATGCGGATATGAAATTATTTCGGATCATCCATTAGTTTCAGATAATTTCGGTTACTGATATTTGCCTTTTAAGGAATTTCAAAAGTAAAATAGAATGGTTTTATTTATATGTCATCATTTATTAGGAACTAGCTGTGACCCGGGACTGCGTCCGCGTGGAATTTAATTTTATTTGTCTGAAACAAGATTTTTTCTAAAATAAAAGTATAAGCCTAAGTTACTCCTTATTATATCAGCTACCTGCGAAAAATAGTCCCGTCAAAATCGGTCCAAACAGACAGACAGACAAAAACTGTAAAAAATGATATTTTGGTGTACATACCGTACTTATATTCATTTGCATGTAGTATAAAACGGTTGTTTCAATATTACAAACAGACACTCCAATTTTTGTTATATAAAATAATATATAGATTAAAATCAGCCCCTAATTGAGGCTGATTGTAATCCGCCCCTATTCGATGTTATCCGAAACTTTTATTTCGGATTCCGTTACGGTTAGTGAGCTCCCTAACATGACCGTAATCTTGAATAATGTTCATAACCTTTCAACTGTCCCTTGTCAAAATGACATCAACGCCCCATCTGTGAGAATTACAGAACTCACAGATGGGGCTATAGTGTACTCCAATTGTCTCCTTCGCAGATGAATCAGTAGGAACTCAGATACTAAGAATATAGTGTCAGACTCCAATTGTCTCCTTCACAGATGAATTAGTAGGAACTCAGATACTAAGAATATAGTGTCAGACTCCAATTGTCTCCTTCACAGATGAATTAGTAGGAACTCAGATACTAAGAATATAGTGTCAGACTCCAATTGTCTCCTTCACAGATGAATTAGTAGGAAACTAAGAATATAGTGTCAGACTCCAATTGTCTCCTTCGCAGATGAATCAGTAGGAACTCAGATACTAGGAATATAGTGTCAGACTCCAATTGTCTCCTTCGCAGATGAATTAGTAGGAACTCAGATACTAAGAATATAGTGTCAGACTCCAATTGTTTCCTTCACAGATGAATTAGTAGGAACTCAGATACTAAGAATATAGTGTCAGACTCCAATTGTCTCCTTCGCAGATGAATCAGTAGGAACTCAGATACTAAGAATATAGTGTCAGACTCCAATTGTTTCCTTCACAGATGAATTAGTAGGAACTCAGATACTAAGAATATAGTGTCAGACTCCAATTGTCTCCTTCGCAGATGAATCAGTAGGAACTCAGATACTAAGAATATAGTGTCAGACTCCAATTGTCTCCTTCGCAGATGAATCAGTAGGAACTCAGATACTAAGAATATAGTGTCAGACTCCAATTGTCTCCTTCGCAGATGAATCAGTAGGAACTCAGATACTAAGAATATAGTGTCAGACTCCAATTGTCTCCTTCGCAGATGAATCAGTAGGAACTCAGATACTAAGAATATAGTGTCAGACTCCAATTGTCTCCTTCACAGATGAATTAGTAGGAACTCAGATACTAAGAATATAGTGTCAGACTCCAATTGTCTCCTTCGCAGATGAATCAGTAGGAACTCAGATACTAAGAATATAGTGTCAGACTCCAATTGTTTCCTTCGCAGAGAAGCCGTTTATGCTCATAAATAAATAATAATTTTGTAAAAATGTGACTGGACTGTAAAATTATAGGATGTTTTTTATCTTGTGAAAAATTTGAATTATCAATACGACCTCCGACGCGCATTAATTTATTTTCGTCCATAAAGACGTTCAGTTTTAATAGTTGACTGTTTTTTGGCAAATTATCATTATTTAACAGAAACTTGTACTCGGCAAAGGATTCATATTGACTATTTGAAATAATTAAAACTAAGGCGTCGCGTAAGTCTACCTCTTCTAAAAAATTTGATACTATAAGTACCTTTTTACAATATTTGATAAATTTTAAAACATAGGCAACTGATCGCAATAGTCTTAAATAATTAGAAAAGCGACTAAATTCAATGAGCCCACAGGAATTGTTATTGTTAATAACAATAGCATTTAGAGATATGTCTGGTTTAATTTCTGGGAGAACTTCAACACACTTCAGTTGCGTAGGCCACTTCGACAAGTCATTCATGAGAAATTGCGGACCAGACCACCATAAGTTTAAACCTTGCAGATTACTAATATCCACACCACGAGATATTAGATCTGCTGAGTTTTCATCAGTTGGTACGTGTCGCCATGTACAATTTTCTGTCCTGTCTAAGACTTCAGCAACACGATTACGTACAAAAGGCTGAAGTCTAGAAGGCAGCATACGTAACCAACCTAAAACTATGGTGGAATCTGTCCAGCAGTAAGCTTGATCTATTCCCGATCTAAGCGACGTGATGACCTTATCATATAGCCGCGCTCCCATCAACGCACCGCACAGTTCCAACCTAGGTATTGTGGTAGGCTTAATAGGAGCTACTCGGCTCTTAGCCGTTAACAATCGAACCATAACTTCACCAGAAGTACTGACGCTACGCAAATAAATGCAAGCTCCATATGCACGCTCTGAAGCATCCGAAAAAACATGCAACTCTAACGACTTACAGGAGTCGCAAATAACAATCCTCGGTACACGAAGATCGTTCAAAAGAGGCAAAGTTTTACGAATGTAATTCCAATGACGATTAATATCATCAGTTAATGGTTCGTCCCAAGCTAATTTTTTAATCCAAAGCTGCTGTAACAATATTTTCATATTAATTATGCATGGAGCCAAAAGTCCCAATGGGTCAAAAATTCGAGCAATCATCGAAAGAATATCACGTTTTGTATTACCATTAGGAACTAGAGAACTTATTGGGAAACAGAGTTCATCAGAATCTGTGTGCCAACTAAGACCTAATAACTTATTTGGCTCATCACTCCCAATATTCAAATCGAATGATGATGCTTGAACGTCCTGAGGATCAATCATCAAAAGAGGATTATTCGATTTCCATTTTCTTAATGGCATACATGCAGAAGCAAGTACATTAGTAACTTGCTTACGTATAGCTTGAACTTCAGCCAAATCGTTACCGCCCGTTAATAGATCATCAACGTAAAAATCATGTTGAATGATCTCGGAAATTTTATCATCCTTGCAGTCGATTCCTAACTGCTTTAGACAGCGTGTAGCCAGAAATGGAGCACTGGATGTTCCATATGTGACCGTGTTCAATATGAATTTTGTAATTGGCTCAGCTACATTACTACGCCACAGTATTTGCTGCAGATGTCTATCAGACGGGTGGACAATTATTTGTCTGTACATTTTTTCAACATCTGCAGACAAAACATATTTATGCTGCCTAAATCGAAGCAATATGGATATCAAATCATCTTGGACGGTGGGACCAATCATTTGAATGTCATTGTAAGAAACACCTGAGGTCGTAGGAGAACTGGCATTAAATACAACACGGAGTTTGGTGCTCGTGCTACTATCTCGCATAACACCGTGATGAGGAATGAAATATTCCTTTTCATCTACCTCAGGCTGTTTATATTCTGACATATGGCCAAGCGATTTATACTCTGTCATGAAGTTGCTATACATATCTCTCAATTCAAGATTGCTCGTCAACCTACGCTCTAAAGAAAATAAACAGTGTTCCGCTCGATGAAACGAATTACCTAAAACAGAAGAATCATGTTTAAGCGGTATACGGACGCAGAAACGACCGTCATCGAGGCGCGTTGTGTTCGCAACAAAATGTTCCTCACACATTCTTTCTTCCGGAAAATAATTTGATTTGGAGCATATCTCTTCCAGCTGCCAGAATCGTGTCAAGTCAGCTCGAATGTCGTCCAAATCATGACTTGCACTAGAATCAATTTTATTAAAATTACATTTTATATCATTTAAATGCATAATTGTGTCATGATGACTAAAGATAGGACCTGAAATTATCCACCCTAATCTGGTTTCGCACAATACAGGCTTTTTCTTACCTAATATTATTCTCCGCGTCCCTACCAAATCCCAAAAGAGATCGGCACCAATCAAGATATCAACATCTGCTGGTACAAAGAACGTAGGATCCGCCAAACTAATGTCAGTAGGGATGTCAATATTAGAAATATTAATTTCGTGACCGGGTACATTACTTGTGATTGATGGCAAAACATAACATTGAAGCTCAGAAGAGAAACTGTTATTCAACGACGTCATGTGCACATGACAAGTTTTGCCTACGCGTAAAGTTGCGTTATTTACACCCATGATTGACTTATCTACCTGACAGGTTTCCAAATTTAATTGTCGACACAATCTCTCAGTCATTAGACTTGATGTACTACCACTGTCTAATATTGCACGTACTATATGTTCGTGATTATTCTTGTCATATAATTTTACCAACGCAGTAGATAATAATACATCACATTGAATTTTATTATAACTAGACATATTTGCTGCTAAAGTTACATTGTCAGAAGCAGCAGTCGTTGAAGACGACGCTAAAGGTGTAGTTTCAGATACGACTCTATTTTCATTACGAATATGATGATCATTGGCTGCATGAATCAGAGTGTTGTGTCGACGCTTGCATATTTTGCAACCTGGCCTTTTACATAGATTAGCAAAATGACCTACACGAAAGCAATTGAAACATACCTTAAAACTGGCTAGTACCTTTAGGCGCGCTTCAACGCTCAACGCAAGAAACTGGGGGCAACCGGTTAGACTATGGTCACCCTTACACTCAGGGCAGATTCGATTATGTGATTCTGCTGTATTGGAATTCTGATGTGGATGACTGCCATGAACTGAAACCATAGATTTTAATTTCATAGTCGATTTATGATTTAAATTGCCCTGATTGACACGTGAAAGCTCTAATGTTTCAATCAAATCTGCACGATTTCGGATAAATTCTAGAAAGGTGTCAAAGGTAATTGAAGTATCTTTATGTGAATGCCCCTTAAATTCCTCCCACTCTCTATAAGTTTTACTATCTAATTTATGGGTAATAATATGGATTAAAAGGGTATCCCAATGTTTGACAGGTTCACCTAATGATTCAAGTGCCCGCAAGTTTTTATTTACCTGATCAATTAACCGCTTTAAATTTGCTGATGACTCCCTTGTTATTGCTTCCACATTGAACAAAGAAGACACATGATTTTGTATCAACAGACGTTTGTTGTCAAATCTATCGCACAAAAGTTTCCACGCAACAGCATAATTACTAGATGAAAACTCAACTGATTGAATTACCACGGCAGCAGAACCCTCTAACGATGCACGCAAATAGTGAAATTTATTCACTTCGTCTATTTCATCATTGTTGTGTATAAGGCTAGTAAAGGTGTCTCTAAATTCCAAATAATCATCGTATGAACCACTGAATCGCGGTAGCTGGATGGTCGGAAGACGCACCAGCTTATGATTATTGCTCGCTCGAGTACCTCCATCACTACCCATATTGCTCATAGTCTCAACATTAACATTTTGTAAACCTTGGGCTTTCGCGATTGCCTTGAAATATTGTGATTCAAAGTCGGAGCGCTCTTTAAATTGCTCTTCACTATTATCAACTATACATTCAAGGCGCAACTGTACCTGATCATACTGTTCATACAACGACTCAATTTTACCCATACGTAATTGTAATTCTCTGGCATCCGAGAGACTTAACGGTTCATCAGTTAGTGTATGCAAATAATTAATAAATGCAGTTAAACGGCCTTTAAAACTGCCTCGCTTTTTTATTAACTCCTTTTCTTCGGTCATTATGGGATTCGAGTGTTGTCGACCTGGAATTTATACAATTAAAAAATTAATTCTAATTAATGAAATAAAGATCTACGATCAATAGGTATGAATACAAAATATTAAGCTAACAATATGTTAATTCGATAAAGAAATATATTTATATGTATATTATATAAATCTAGTAAATGTACTGTAAATGTTGTGACATTACATATATTACATATGCACAAGCATAAGTACCGATTCAAATTGACATTAATAGAGAAAATACTAGATTGTTTCTTAACTTGCTGTCGTACATACGGCAAATTATTTGTTTAACATAAATGTGCAGATTCCTTAAGTACCTAAATTTATAATATAATATAGAACCTGACAATAAAATTAAACACCAAACACCAAAGTAACATTTAACACAAAGGAATTAGTTATACCTACTTTACTTACATACAACTGACGTGAATAACTATTGAAATTTGCAATTATAAGGCATATATTCTGATAATTAACTCAAACAATGTAGCATTAGTGCTTACTATACTTAATTAAGTATGATTTGTAGTTAATTTTAGCAAATTATGAAAAAGTACTAATATTATTCACAATGCAGTAGGTAGGAAACTAATGAAGTTAAAATAATGTGATACAGATAAATAACGTAATTATCGTTTACTAACCTTAATAAAGTTTTTGATTTACTTATAATATTACCTGTAGAGTGTTGGGATAAATTTATTATATAGTAATTTATACTTAACACCACTATCAATTACACTCGATTCACATCCAATGGTAGGTAGTTCTGCCGGTCAACTTGCATCCAATTAATTTCTCTTTTATTTCTTGTATTTCGATTTAATTCCACAAAATAATAACTGATCCGCATTTAATTCACATCCAGCTTAGATATAGGACCATGTTCTGGAGTAATCACAGCGGATTTTCGGGAATAATGAAATTAAAGACGCAGAGTAACTTGTACGACTTCTATATTTTTAACTTACTAAAAACTACAAAATTGTATGAGCACAAATCGCAAAAGTGTAGTATTTGCGTAAATAAAATAAGTAGGCGCTTTGACTTCACAACACTCGGATACTAAGAATATAGTGTCAGACTCCAATTGTCTCCTTCGCAGATGAATCAATAGGAACTCGGATACTAAGAATATAGTGTCAGACTCCAATTGTCTCCTTCGCAGATGAATTAGTAGGAACCCAGATACTAAAAATTTGTTACTGCAACAAAATTACTATTTGAAGTATAAATGTGACTGACTAGTAGTTCTAGTCTTTTTAATTGTTTTTCGGACTACTCTAATGCTGTTGGCCGCAGCTGGCCTTTACAGCTTCACCGGATGATAGACGAGTGCAGATGGCACTCCAAACCTAGGAAGGACTTATGGAGCGGCTGAAGGCCAACTCCCGCCTGACGGATACGACTTTTTAGATGCTCGTCAGAGTCGTTGAATTCGATGGGGGATCGATCGGACCTCGGTGGAGCGCCCGGTTGATTGCGCGATATAGTGTATTTGAGGTAGTGAGGCAAGTTTTGGAGTTTGAGCATGCCTAGACCGTCATGACACATTTCTTACTTTTTTAGCATTAGTCTATTGTAGATGACGGATACGACTTTAGTCTGAGTCTTAGGGGTTCGAACCTCGGCTCAGGCCGTCATAATATCGATCCCCGTTTGAATTGGATGGGGGATCGATAGGAGCGGTCTTTATAATCATAACAATATAACTTTTATACCTCATAACTAACACTATGTTGACACCTGACAATGCTATGCATTGGGTTATCCCCTCCGGATAACCACTTTTAGAGGTTTACGCACAAACATACAGACAAAATTTTTGACAATTATTGTTTGCTATTATAATTATTGTTTATATATATATATATATATAGTTTTGTATCAATAATACTAAGTGTTTATGCCGAGTTTACAAATCGGATTTTATTTTAGAATTTAATGTAAGACTTTTTTAAATATAAGATTTATTTATACTGAAAACATAGTTTGCAATCTTTATTTATGGAACTATTCTAATGTATGCATTATCATTGGCTGTTTGAACACAGCCACCTAATATATGTATACTGGCTACTCGCCCCGGCTTTGCACGGGTGTACATGTATTAAACATATAAAGCTTCCTCTTAAATCACTCTATCTAATAAAAAAACCGCTTCAAAATCCGTTGCGTAGTTGTAAAGATTTAGGCATACATAGGGACAGACAGCGACAGCGACTTTGTTTTATACTATGTAATGATGATTATTTTCATACATTTATAAATAAACTGTTTTTAGGCATAGCAGTTATATGAGATGATATTATTGAAACCAATAAATTGTACCCTCAAATTACAGAGTGATTGAAGACATCGCATAAATAAATTAAATTTTATGGCCTTAATTTTAGAGTTCATTTTTGTATTTACAGTTCAATCTCTACCTGTAATTATAGGTTATGCTAGCTGTTCTCGCGACTTCGTCCGCGTGGAATTTAACTTTATTTCTAAAAGTAGCCTAAGTCAGTCCTTATTAAATCAGCTACCTGTCAAAATTGGTTCAGACATTTCAGAGATTAGCCGGAACAGACAGACAGACAAAAATGGTAAAGAATGGTTTTTTGGTGTACGTACCGTATTTATATTCATATGCATGTAGTAAAAAACGGTTATTTCAATATTACAAACAGACACTCCTTTTTTATTTATATGTATAGATAGGATGTGATATTGTAAATGAAATATATTCAGTCTATTAATATAAGAGTTTATTATTAAGTAAGATCATATTAACATAGTTATAAATTAATAATTAATGTTTTCGACTGATTGTTGTATATTTTTTCTAATATGTTTTGTATGAAGAATTGTTTAATAAAAAAAATATTGTTTACATTTCATTGTTTTATTTCAATTCAATTTATATTTTGCAACTAATGAGTTAGTGCTAGTTGGTAGTCTATATTTACATGTTTCGACATAAAAATGTAAAGTTCAACTAAATTATTTAAAAGAGCAACACGCAAGTTCCTATCTGATATAATTGTGATAAGACAGCTTTCCGAATGAGCGGTAGAATAAAAAAATATGACTATTCAAAAGTGCTTATATTTAATAGAAATAAAAATAATCTTTATTCATACAAACTTAATAAAAGCACTTTTGAATAGTCAATTTTATTTTTATTCTACCGCTCATTCGGAATGCAGACACATCACAAGAAGAATGAGCAAGACTTGTGGGTTGCTCTTTTAAATAAATAGATTTAATTATATTTACATTAACAAGAATTAGGCATTAAGTTTATTTGAATAAGCATTTTTTATTTTATTATATCGGTAAGCTAATAACTATATCAACTTATGCCCGTAACATATCCATCGAATGAGTCATTTCTTTATGAAATAGAAATAATCTTTATTCAAATAAACTTAATATAAGCACTTTTGAATAGTCAAGTTTTTTTATTCTACCGCTTATTCGGAATGCAGATTCATCACAAGAAGAATAAACAAGAAACTTGTGTGTTGCTCTTTTAAATAAATATTGATTTACTTATAATTAATTACAACAAGAATTAGGCATGCGACAATCAACATAGAAACCGCTACGCACTTAATCTCTGTTCAATCAGATAACGTTGTCAGCGCTATGAATTTTAAGTTAGATATTTTCTACAAAAACATTATTATCATTTATAAATTCTTCAATATTATAATAAACTTTACTTTACTAAAGTAAATTATGCTACAATAGGCTTCACTTAAACATTTATTTAAAAGGGCAACACAAATTTCTTGCTCATTCTTCTTGTAATGAGTCTGCGTTCTGAATCAGTGGTAGAGTAAAAAGGAGATATTCAAAAGTGCTTATTTTAAGTTTATATGAATAAAGTTTATTTCTATTTCTATTTCAGTGCTTGTCCTACTAATCTTAATCAATCAATCGTAAGAACTTACACGTCTCCATCTGTAGAAACTTACTAATTTTTACAGATGGAAGTAATTCTTGTGAAACTTAAGCTCTAAATAATAATCTTTACAATTACAAACATTAAATACTAACTTCTAAAATACTTATTACTATATAACTTTATACACAGGTCAAAATATGGTATATAAATATCAAACTTATAGAAATTAACTCCAAAAGGAGATCTACATACATAAACGTTATTTTTGTGTTTAATATAAATACCACTTATATTGAGATATGAACAATCTAAAGAGGAATAATGGTAGGTGTAGTTGGGCAATAGCCCAGCAGTGGGATAGCGCAACAGATGTGTCAAAATCGTAGAATTAATAATTTATTCGTATACTTCATATATATGTAAATGTCGCTTGTCCATATGATTAGAGTACAACGAATGGTGTGCATAGTTAGTCGTAAAGGCTATTCAAAGCCGAAAATTATGTAAAATACTCATGAAACTGAGAATGAAGTATAAACTTTATACAAACTCGGTCACATGTTCAAATTTTATTTATTTATTTATTGCCACTATGGTCCTCAGTGAAAGTGATTTAAATTTCAAACTCATCCGTTACGTTCGCGGGTTGCTCGTAAAATGCCATCATTGGTTCATTGGCCGCCATCTTGGGCCACACTCTTCTTGAAAATCCGGAAGTGATAACAGACTATTCTGATTTTCGACTTGTTTAAGTTTATAAATCATAGTATTCAATAAGTTATTATATGTTGAAACTTTACTGCACTTTATATTATAAATTTTAGTAATGAGACTACCGGCATTGTCTTAAAAAATAGTACTATTTGATGAAATTATCAAATCTATAATTTTGACACCCAGTTCGCCATCAGTGTGAGATTACTGCATTCGATTATTAATTGATCAGAAATGTCCAAAGTTGCTTGCGAATCCCTTCCATTAACCAGCAATGAAGACGGTCAGGGAGACGAGAGTGGCAGCATCAAGCAACGACTATGTCACCATCCACCATAATATCGTGCCAACTTATAATATAGAGCAGCAGGGTACTCTGCAGCGCGGAGTCTTCTTGCCAGGGAGTTCCTCAATCGGAGGCAGGTTCTGCTTCAGCCGCGACACCTGCCGGATGAGGGTCAGGAACGTCTGCCAAAACCAAGTCCAATAGAGGCCGTTCAAGTATTACGTAAGCACTATTTTTTTGCTTTGCTTATTTTGGATGACATGGGGGGAGTCTAGATGATGATTACGTCATCGTAGTTATTTACTCTTACACGAATGGCAACTGTCACATTGTCTTTGCTAAAAAAACAATATATTAATTGAAAAATGTTTACGTAAGCATGAGGGGAGTAAGAGCTTTGCTTACTTTTGCTGACAAGGGGATGGGGGGTAAATAACTGTAATAAATCTGCATATGTAATACTTGAACCGCCCCATACAACTGTTATGTTAACGTCAACAGCAACTCCTGGTTAGGGTACCAGACTTCAGTGACTGCAACGCCCTCTAGTGGGGGGAAGGGGATTGTGAGTAATCTGGACTTGAGTCCTGATTTCTAATAATGTACCATTTATACCTATTCCTAGCAATGTACCATGTTAGATTGATCTCCACGCGGTTTTCCTGGAAACCATCGTGGTATATTCCTGATGAATTTGCCACGATGGGCTGACTGACCTGATATGTTTATCTTATCTTCCACTGGTGCCCCGCCATCGTAAACCGTTAGTGCCGGCGGGTGCACCATTTCATTGTCATCCATAAAAAAACTGCATTTAGTTTATTACTCGGATAATAACTATTCAATAGTAGTTACAGTGTTTTGTGCTTATAAATATATATAACACTAGTTTCCGCAAATTCGTCCGCGTGGAATTAAGTTTTCTAAGCCTAAGTTACTCCTTATTACATCAGCTATCTGCCAAAAAAAGTCACGTCAAAATCGGTACAGCATTTCAGAGATTAGCCGGAACAAACAGACCGACAGATAGTCAAATGTTGTAAAAAATGTTTTTTTGGTGTATGTATAGTATTTATAAATTATATACCTAGTGATCCTTCAATAACATATTTTCTTTTCTTAATTAATTTTTTTTTATGCTGTTTATTTGACTGTAGCGTCTTTAGTAACTAAAACGAACAAGCATTTTAGTTTTTATATATGCGAAAACCATGTAAAACTTTATTTATTTAAATTATTAATTATGTAAGATATATTACTGTATTGTTTACCTATTAAATAAAAAAAATATAATAATAAAATCAATGATACACATAATATTGCAAATCAGTATATTTCTGCTTGTCTTTTCGTTCTGTTCTTATTTCGTGCATACATCCCTACAGTTACATACAATGTAAAACTAACGCTAGTCTATAAATAGGAAATATTCAGTACATTCAGTACTTAGTACATAGCAACACTGCTATATACATCCAGAGCCGTAAAACATTAATAATAATAAAAAAAAAACTGTACACTACTAAACGTCGCAGCAAGCAACACTATGGACGCCGGCACATCAATACATGGAAATATTCCCCGACTCCTACAAACGCCATATTGGAATTTTCAAGAATAGAATAGAATAGAAAATCATTTATTCAAATAAACTTAATTTAAGCACTTTTGAATAGTCATAACAATTTGTTTTTTATCTACCACTCGTTCGGAAAGCCGTCTCATCACAAGAAGAACGAACAAGAAACTTGTGTGTTGCTCTTTTAAATAATCCTTGTAAGTTTACATTTACAAGTCGAAACGTGTGAATACAAACTACCAACAAGCACTAATTTTTGGGTCAAATATAAATATGCAATAAGATTAAATCAGTCGTAGTGATAAGAGCAGACCAGTCCCTACAAGCAGCACTCGTTTCACGAGTATGACGGATGAGCCAGCCATCACTGCGCTCGACCATATTTTAGGGAACACAATGACCCGGCCCACCACGCCGCCACATGTCTGGACATTTTAGTGATTCTAAATACTATCTGTTTTATTAATAAAAAACAGGAAACCTTTATAAGTACTGTTATATAGGCTTTATAAAAAATATTATTCAACAACGCATATATAAAAATTACGTTCCACGTCGTTTATCCAGAAGACCATCGGTCTTCTTAACTACTGAACCGATTGCAAATTTGATTTGCACATACTGTACAATTTGATCCAACTTGGAAGATATTATTTTATTCAGGAATCTTAGCTACAGCAACGCGTGGACAGATTTGCTAGTATATATATACAAATGTTAAATAGATATGTATACCTTATTGTCTGTATTTCTATATTTATTAGAAACTATTGTAGTTATTTATTAGGCTTCACCCGGGTACTCATGTTTGTTGTATATACAACAATTATTATGATAATATGTAGCCTATGAAGGAACTTCTCAAATCGATACAGTGGTTATGGATCTAAGCTCTCTCTCTTTTATAATATTAGTATAAATTTGATTATATACCAGATAATTTCAAATGAAGTACTGGCACTGCAGAACCATGCATCGACTATTCAATATTGTAATTTGAAGGCCTTATTCCTTGAATATCGTCTGCCGGCGTCCATAATCAGCAAGTAAAACTTCAAACCTTTTGGAACTCAGTATATCAAGTTATATATTTCTTATTATATTTATTAAAAATAATATAAATAACGAATGGAAACACTGAATGCATGTGAACTATTCTAAGAGTATATTTATATACATTCCTTACCCATAAAAACTAAAAAAAAACAATTTTGTCTATTATCCTTTGTCCTTTTCTTTACTCAATTGGAAAGAAATGACAACACTTCAATAATTAAAAAGGACTTGTATCCAGAGCCGTAAAATATTAATAAATAAAAAAAAGGTCGTATTAGTTTTTATTTTTTATGAATAAGACAGAATGTATAACATGTTGGCAGTAATAACGGCCAGGGGTATGCCTTCAGCCTTATTGGTGTAACATACAAACAACCTAAATATATGTACCATATGCACACACTTTATATATACCGTGAATATATATATATGTTAGGTGTCTTTCTATTTAATCGCTTTATGTGTTTCTAAAAATAAATTTATATTTAATATAGAGTTATTTCTATTTTACAAATTGGCAACTGTTTTAAAAATATTTTTATATTAAGTAGATTTTTTTAATTTTTGTTTATTTATATAGGTACAATGGAACTGGCACGTCTTTTAAAGATTTATCTTTGCCTCTTAATTATAAAAAAAAAGTAAAAAAAATCAGAATTACAGAATTTCCCGCTTAAACACTTGTCAAATTGAAAATTTCTATAAATAAGGTATGAGTTCCTCTGTTCGTTAACAGAGGAATTCATACCTTATTTATAGAAGATCAAAGGCGAAATTCACAAAAGCGTTTAATAAATAGTGATTAATGTTTATAACCAACAATTCGTTGATATACATTGCAAATACCATCAATTTTATGTGACAGGTATTGAGTAAATACTAGCAATTCTAATATAGTCTGTGGTATCTGTCAATGAAGTATATATACTGGACAATCCACAGCACATGCTACACACGGAGAGATGGTGAATTAAATAACTAAAATTTTATATATTGGAGACTTTTATAGAACTATGATTCCCCATATTTTCCTAGTTTGTGTTGAAATCAAATACTTAATGGATTTATTTTGCTTAATTCAGCTACATTTTCGATCACAAATGCTTTTTTTTCGAACTACTCTAATGCTTTTGACCGCAGCTGGCCTTTACAGCTTCACCGGACGATAGGGGGCGAGTGCAGATGGCACTCCAGACCGGCTGAAAGACTTATGGAGCGGCTGAAGGCCAACTCCCGCCTGACGGATACGACTTTAGTCTGAGGCCACCGCTAGGGGGTTCGAACCTCGGCTCAGGCCGTCGTAATATCTATCGATATTACGACGATAGTCGGGGGATCGATCGGAGAGGACCACAAATAGTAGTCAGTGTGTAAACTTGACTACAGTTACGACCAAATTCCGACCGTTATTGAGTCTATACCCATACGTGTTTCGTCTCTGAACGAGGCATCATCAGGCGTTGAATAGAGTTCGGATATATCTTGGAACCTACTATAATTACACAATATAAATCCATATGTAGTGAAACGGGCTTCAGAATCAAAGACTTGAACATAATAATTTATAATTATTTTATAATAATTTAATTTACTAGACCATTTTACTGTAAATAAGACAGTGACAGAAAAATTATCTTCTAATGAACCACGAGAAATAAAACAGACAGTAAATGTGAAATAGTCATGTTATTATGCTAAACTGTCCACTTTATAAGGAGGGGGGTGTTGTAAAGGTTGAATGATTATATAGACTCTATTGGTATGAGTATGTAAATATAATAAACATTATTCAATATTTGACAGATCAGTCACGTTGACAGTTCAACTGTCAAAACTATAGTACTTTGAAATGCATGAATTAATTTAATTTTATCATAATTATAAGATTATACATAACTACATATTGCGAACATCGAATTGCTGGCAGCTTCATTATATAACGCGGTTGCTAACAAATATTAGAAACAGGTAAAATCTTTATTCAAACCAACTCAAAGTAAACACTTGAATAGTCATTTATTTTTATCTTTCAACCGTTCAATTGGATAGTAGACTCATCACAAGAAGCACGTGGGGGACCGTTTAAGTGTTACGTAAGCAGATTTATTACAATTATTTTATTAGCCCCCCCCATCCCCTTGTCAGCAAAAGAAAGCAAAGCTCTTACCCCCTCCCCTCGTGCTTACGTCCACATTTTTCAATTAATGTATTGTTTTTTTAGCAAAGACAATATGAGGGTTGCTACGTGTAAAAAAGTAAACAACTACCGATAACCTAATCATCATCGAGACTTCCCTACCCCCATATAATCCAAAATAAGCAACGTAAAGCCCCCCCCCCCCCCCCCCCCCCCCCCCCCATAGTGCTTACGTAATACTTAAACGGTCTCTTGGGATAAATCTCCGTGTCGCTCTTTTAAATACATATTGTTCAATACATATTTAAGATTTTTAGTGAATACAAAATGCCTTTGCAACGCTGATCAGACTATTTCTGTGAACTTTGATAATTGTTAGCAACCGTGTTACATAATAAAGCAACTGGTGT